AGATAGATAGATAGATAGATAGATAGATAGATAGATAGATAGATAGATAGATAGATAGATAGATAGATAGTTGTCAAGGTGGGGTAATGTTTGTAAAAAAGTATACTAGGTAGGTCAAATATGGATAAAGTTAGGGTATCAACATCATCTCACAACATGATCTGGTAGAAAATTAGGTCGAATTCTGTCCGAATATTATTAGGCTATATGTAGAAAATGAAAACCATCCGGATCAGTGTGGATCATTTTTAAGATCTGGTCTATAAAACAGGTGGTTGTTGTTTTGTAAGTGGCTTGTCGTATTGTCAGTGCAGTGGTGCAGCATGCGTGCACCTGAAGGGGGTCTGCATGCACCAGCAGAGCAGCTCTTTGATCGCGCGTCAGACCGCATGTGACGCGCTCTGAGTGGGGCTGTAGCCTGCATGTAGCTTCGGTGGGCGACAGTGGCCCTGTTAACGTTCAGTCAGCTTTGAAAATGTAACGTTAGGGTACACAAAGGCTATTACATATATGCACTGAATGTTTCTGTTTATGGCGTCCGCGCGATTTGTTCTTTCACGTTTTTAAGATCCATTTAGCCTATGCACAACTAGACATGAAGTATGAATATTCACACACGCTCACGTTTCTTTCCCTCTCATTCACTCAAACACGTCTTACGAAATCGTAGTCAGGATATACAGTAAAGTTACAAATGCTGAATGAAAAATGCTCATCTATAATTTACTTATGGAAAACACATGCATGAAATTAACCTCACTTTATGAGCCATTTTTGCAATTAATTTGAACTAACTGGGTGTCATGGTGATTAGTGGAGGTATGAATTCAGTTCTGCTAAAGGAACACATTTGTTGTCTTCATTCAAGACTGTTCGTGGTTTAAAATCTTCATTTTGTGAAATGTTTTGCATGAAAGTGTGTTTGTGCTATCATATCTAGGAGGGACAACTCAAGGATCACAATATAGCCTAATGTTTCCCAAGAAGAGTGGAAACATGCGAAGAAAGCTTCAGACCAGCTTTGTTCTGTAGGCGTTCAGCGAGTCTCTGAAGAATGTGAGAATGGGTGAGAATGATGCTGCCCACACAGTTACATCACAAGCAACAGCGCCACCTCTCTTCTATATTTCGCAACGCGGTCTGACGTCATTTAGCCTATATTTACGTCGCCTGGAAATTAACGTAACATTCACGTCGGCCGTGTAGTTACACAGTGGAAATATGAGTTCACGACATTAGCAACAAATACAAATCTGTTGACGAACCTGTCAGGTATACAAATAAAATGAAATAAATAAAATAGACAATATAATAGCCTAATAAAAATCATAACACGACTTATACATACATAAAATAATAACTTTGACAAAACAATTATTGCTGTTATTTAAAAAATACATTAAATTATATATTATTTTATTAAATAATAATAATAATAATAACATAACTTATTGTTGACTAAATAACAGTTTCATAAATAACAACACATTATTACATTATAATTTAATAATAATAATAAGACAATTACATCATAAAGCTGCAACAAAACTAATAGTTTTCTTATAATATATAATGTATTTCTGAATATTTTCGATTTTATTATTATTATTGTTGTTGTTGTTTATATAGGTACAATATGAGTTTGCAGTATTACAAAGTTTCTAGATATTTATATTCTATATAAATAAATAAAAATAGACTAAATAATAATAATGATGATGATCATAATAATAATACAATTACATCATAAAACTGCAACAACATGAATCATTTTGTTATAATAAATAATATATTTATTAAAGGGGTCATATGATGCGATTTCAATTTTTCCTTTCTCTTTGGAGTGTTACAAGCTCTTGGTGCATAAAGAAGATCTGTAAAGTCGCAAAGACTAAAGTCTCAAATCCAAAGAGATATTCTTTATAAAAGTTAAGAGTCAGCCACGCCTACCTAAAACGGCTCGTTCTAACACGCCCCCACATGTCTACGTCACGATGTGGGAAGATTTGCATAACGCCGCCCAAATGTTCACGCAAAGAAAGAAGGCGTAACTTTTATTCTC